AGGCGGAAGGCAGCTGCAGTTGAGAGCTGGGACGGGCCCATCCGGAGCGAGGGGGTGAGCGGGATCGCCAGCAGCCAATCCCCCGCGCCTGGGCCCAGCACCGACTGCATCCGTTGCGCATGGCCAGAGCGGGGGTTGGGGCGCATCCTCCTTGCCTCGCGCATGACTCTCAGGAAGCGGCGGGTGTGAACCGCCAGTGCTAGGTTCTGCTGCAGCTTCAGTCCCTTGGGGTCAGCCTTCCCGGCCTGGAGCACCTCGAGAGCCTCGGGGGGCAGGGCTGCCTCAGCCGCGGCGAGGCGTGCAGGTAGCGCGTGTGGGGAGCCGTGGGTTGGGTCCAAAAGGGGGAGGAGCGCGGCGACAGCGGGGTGCAACGAGTCCTCCAGGGAGTGCAAGAGGTGGGCTGTGCTGATCACTGAGGCGAGGTAGGCATAGCTGCCTTCAACGGCGGGGTCAGTGATGCCCAGGCCTCCCAAAGTCACTGGCAGGGCCGCCTGCCGCCAAATCCTCCGTCTCTCCCTGGCGCTCCTCGGCCTCATGATGTGGGCCGAGTCTAGGAAGGTGTGAAGGAGTTGTTCCCCCCAAGCGGACCATTCGGCTTCAGGGAGGGCCTCTAGGGGGGTGGTTCTGGCCAGGAAGGAAGCTCGGCGGCTGACACAGCGGGTGAGGAGGAGGAGGGCAAGTTGGGGGTCCATCTGGGCCAGCAGGGGGAGAGGCGCTGCTGCTGCTTCCAATCTCGCTCTCACAGCATCTGCGCAGCCTCGGGCAGTGCCCACGGGGCTGCCGAGAATCTGCAAACCCTCCTCAGAGATAGTGACGCCTGGGGGGACTGAGGAGGCGTCGATTGCTGCGGCGGACCACGCCGCGCACTTAGCCGGATTGTGCACCAGGCCGAGGGCGGCTAAAGCAGAGGTGAGGTGGTCGAAAGCCGCAGAGCAGGCCGTGGCGTCGCCGAGCAGCGTGATATCATCGGCGTACGCCAGCAGGACCACCTGAGGGTGTGCAGCCGCCGTGTCCACGAGGCACGGGTGGATGCTAGCCGCGAACAGGAGTGGGCCGAGCGGGTCTCCTTGGCGAACACCCCTGGCGCTCTGCAGCGGGGCTGCGCCGAAGTCGTGGTCGAGGAAGAGCGAGGAGGGAGTCCCATAGGAAAGGCGGACGAGGGGAATCAGTTCCTTCAGCGCCTCGTTTTTCAGTCCTTCAAACACCGCCCTTCTTTCGACCGCGTTGAACGCATTCGCGAGGTCAATCTGCAGCGCCACTGCCCCTGGGTGCACTTCCAGGTACGTGCGAGCGGAGTGGATAGCCGCTTCGATCCCTCCCGCTACTGCGACTCCGAACTAAAGCGGAGCAAAGTGAGTACGAGCGGCCGGCGCAGTGAGGAAGAGCGCGGCTTTTGCTATTATCCGGAGGAGGCACTCCCCCACCGCAATCGGCCGCGTCCCTCCCTGTGGTTTCGTAAATGCTAACAGGCGGGATGCCGTTAGAAGATCCCCCGCGACTGTGGGGAGTTTTCCTGCTAGAGCTGTGTTAGTGAGGGCGAGGAGGTGGGTGAGTACTTCGGCGTTGCCCAGGGCTGCGTCGCGGATGTGCTCGAAGGTTGTTCCAGATGGGCCGGCCCCTACTCCGTTGGGGAGTTTGGCGAGGAGGCGTCTGAAGTCGCGAGCTTCGATAGTGGGTGGGTCTTCCGCTGTGGCGGTGCGGAGCCAGTCAGGAAGTGGTTGGCAGGCGGATGGGTGTCTCGTCGTGAGGGCTTCCAACACTTCAGGTGAGGCGGGAGACACAGGAGTGGCCTGGAGGGATTGGAGTGATTTTGACAAGTTACCCCGTTTTGCGAGTCCTTCTGCCCGTGCCAGTATCCCCGTTGTGTCAGGTGAGTGGCGAGGTTGCGGTGGCAGTGAGATCGCCTGGACAGCTTCTTCGTACAGGTCCCCCCAAAGGCCTTGGCGAAATCGCTGGAGCCGATTCATCATCGCGCTCCAGTCAGGTTTGCGGGCTGACGAGGTGCGGAGGAGTAAGCGCGGGAGAAAAGTCAGTAAGTTCCATCCTGGTGGAGACTCAGGATTGGCCGCCAGGTGGAGTAACGGAGTCAACATGCAGATCGCGAAGGAGTCGCGAAGGTCTTTGGGGGGGTGGCGAGCGAGGGGAGGTTGGCGACTGTCGCGCAGCGGGTCAAGGTTCCAGTCTGCAACCTGAGCGAAAAGGTCAGTATTTTTCGCCAGGTCGTCAGGTTTGAGCGTTGGTGGGGTTGGGGAGGGGCCTGCAGAATTATCATTGGCTGCTGCAGAGTCAATTCCGTCTTGTGTCGCGGCTCGATTTCCCCCCCTTGCACGATTTCCCCCCGCGGTTCGATTTCGACTTGTGGTTCGAATTGCAGGTTCGTCCCGGGCCTGATGGTTTGGAAACTCCGCTTCCCGAAGTAGCATCTCCAATTCTTCCTCGTCCTCGGCTTCTGCTTCTAACATCCCCTCTCTTTCTGGGTTAAAAACAGGGTCACCCCCTTCGCTTTCTTCATTCTCAGCTTCGTCCTCTGCCTCCTCGCTGTGCTCCTCCTCGCCGCCTTCCACGCCTTCGCGTATTAGCCTTTCAGCAGTTCTCGCGTAACCGCTTGCGCCGGTGCGGCGCCGATTTGTGCCGCGCGCTCCTCCACCTCTTCGTCCTCTCCCATTCCCTCGTCGTCCGCGGCGGCTGCTGCCGCGTCCCACGCGGATACCCCGCGTTCCTCTCCCTTCCGCGGCTCCCACGCGCCCTGCCTGCGGCGCCACGTCCACCTCGTCCTCGTTCTGTCGGCGCGCTGGCGTCGGCTGCGGTGCTGTCGGGGGTGATGGGTCCATCCGCGAGACGGGATCCGGAGCTCGAGGGATCCGCAGAGAGCGCGTTGCCGGAACCTGCGCCTGGCGGTCTTCGCCCGCGTGTCCCTGCGCACCCCTCCGCAAGCGAGCCCGTCCGCCGCTTCGACCGGGTGCTGACTCTTCCCCAACGGCCTGCCCCGCGCCCCACCTCGCCGGAGTATTCGTGGGCCCCTGCGCGTGTTGCGTTGAACCGCCCGGACGGTCAGCCGCGGCAGGAGCGCGGGCGCTCGCCTCTGCGTCAGCCTCCGCGGCAGCCCTCTCCTCGGCGCCCATCTCCTGAGCATCGCGAGGCTCATCCGCGGGGTGGGGGCGATCGGCGATCCCCTGGGCGTCCTCGTTCTCCTCGCCACCCGTCTCCTCGTGGTCGGGCAGGCCAGCGCTCACCCCGAGCGCGATCCCCCGCACAACGGTCTCCGCGGCGATCTCCGGCGACGAGGGGGAGGGGGTCGCCTGGACGTCGCTGGGATTCGGGGCGTCGCGAGCAGTCCCCCCCGCGTCCTCACTCGGCAGGTTCTGGCGGCCGGCGAGGCCGGCGGAATGGCGGAGGTCGTGGCGGTAATGGTCGTCAGCAGGATCCTGCCCTCGATCACGCCGCAGACACGTTTGTGGAGGTGGTGCGGCAGGCCCGGGCGAGTGGGGGGCCGACTCACGTCCATATAGAGGTGACCAACGGTCCCCCCTTCGCCGCGGACCGAGGCCAGGTTGCTCCTCTGCGCGCGCCGACGCTGAGCGAATATCGGCCCGCGCGAGAGGGGAGGGCTCAGTTCCGCACCCCCCCGTCAGGTCCCCGGCTTCTCTGCGCCGCGCTTATCTGTTGGCCGAACTCCAGGCTGGCCGACGGCGTATCCGCGCGAAGCGCCGACTGCACCTCCCCCCACTCGCGCGGGGAGAGACCCCATGCTGACCATGTGCCGGATTCTGAATCTAGCGGAGGCGTGCGAGGTGGTGGCGAACTTGCAGCTGGCGGTGTGTGGGGCCACGCGGAGCCTTCCGAGCAGTTTCGGTCCAGGATCCCGAGGATCCTGCGTGACTTTGGCAGAATCGCTCGAGTCGCCGTTGGCACCCGTGTCGGATGCGCCCGCCGGGGTAGCTCCCTTAGCCCGTACCTTCCCCCGCCACGTGGGGGATCTTGTAGGGGCTGCTCAGGCCGGGACCCCCTTGGACACGCTCCAGTCGTCGGCGCATCTCCTTCTTGCAGTATCGGCGTGCATGCGCTCGATGCTTGAGGTGGAGGGGGCGGAGCCGTACACGATGTAGGCCTCCGCCGCGTGTAGAATTGCATGCCGCGCCTCTTGCTCTTGCCTGCCCCCTTGCCTTGTGTGTTTGTATGCCCTTTATATGCCGAACTCGCGTCTTGTGACTTGCCACCCCTAACGCGCGGCCGAAGGCCGCCGGCGCGAGCCGCCGAATGTGAAACACCAACGAAATAATGAGGTAGGGAAGGCACGGAGGGCCCCTTAAATAGGACCAGAGGGAGAGGGCAGAGGGAAGAGGGAGAGGGCTGGATGCTAAGGCCTTCTCTCTCTCGCTCTCTCTCCGCCGAATGTGAAACACCAACGAAATAATGAGGTAGGGAAGGCACGGAGGGCCCCTTAAATAGGACCAGAGGGAGAGGGCAGAGGGAAGAGGGAGAGGGCTGGATGCTAAGGCCTTCTCTCTCTCGCTCTCTCTCCGCCGAATGTGAAACACCAACGAAATAATGAGGTAGGGAAGGCACGGAGGGCCCCTTAAATAGGACCAGAGGGAGAGGGCAGAGGGAAGAGGGAGAGGGCTGGATGCTAAGGCCTTCTCTCTCTCGCTCTCTCTCCGCCGAATGTGAAACACCAACGAAATAATGAGGTAGGGAAGGCACGGAGGGCCCCTTAAATAGGACCAGAGGGAGAGGGCAGAGGGAAGAGGGAGAGGGCTGGATGCTAAGGCCTTCTCTCTCTCTCTCTCTCTCTCTCTCTCTCTCTCTCTCTCTCTCTCTCTCTCTCTCTCTCTCTCTCTCTCTCTCTCTCTCTCTGTCTGTCTGGCGGCAGTACGTGTTTCGAGAAGGCAAGGTGGACGACGAGCGGCTGCGCAGGATGGTGAACGCACTGGCACCCGAAAGACTTTTGAGGCGCCTCATAATTCAGTCATTGGACCCATCCCTCTCTGCGTGCGTGGCAGTACGTGTTTCGAGATGGCAAGGTGGATGAGGAGCGGCTGCGCAGGATGGTGAATGCAGTGGCACCCGAGAGACTGGTGCTGGACCTGAGCTGCAGAAAGAAGGTGAGGAAAGGTATTGTGCTGCACATCTCTCCACCTTCCTCCACCTCCCTCCACCTCCTTCGACCCTACTCGACCTCCCTCCACCTCCCTTCACCTCCATCCTCACCTCTATCTCAAACCTCCACACATTGACAGCCTTGTTACCCCCCACGTTGTTTCCGCCCTCTTCCTCTCGCCCTCTTCCTCCCTTCATCTCCATCCTCACCTCTGGGAGCGCTTCACATTGCTGGTGGATTTTTCCATCTCTCACACTTGCTGTCACTCACCTTACCCCACGCACAGGAGAGACACTAACAGGAGGTAGGCATTGTCCCACTGGCAGGAGTTCAAAACATTCGTGGTCTAACAACAACTCCCAAACACTATCAAAACGCCCGCACCCGGCCCACAGGGCGAGCACTGCAACGGGGTGACGGACCCCTGGCAGCGCTTCACATCGCTGGTGGCCTCTTTTTCTATGTCGCTCTCTCACACTCTAGTACACACACGCTCCCACACACCCCATGAGCAGGGCGAGCACTACTATGTGGTGACGGACCGCTGGCAGCGCTTCACATCGCTGGTGGTGGACGGCGAGTCGCTGGCGCGGCTGGCCGACTGCTGCGATGAATTCCTCGTGCACGGCGTGGACGTGGAGGGCATGAAGTGAGTGCTTATGGGGAGCGGGTGGAGGGGAGTTGGTTCATGTATACTGTGCAGGGATGGGAGTGTTGCTGTGAGCCCGCTGCGATGAGCTCCTCTTGCACGGAGTGGATGTGGAGGGCATGAAGTGAGTGGTGGGGAAAGGGAGTTCTTAGGCGTCTCAAAAACTCCCTTCTTAGGTGTGGTGGGGTGGGGGGATGAAGTGAGATGAAGTGAGTTGAAGGAGGGGTTGCACTCTGTAGGGGATGAAGTGGGATTGTAACTGTGTTGAGGATGGGTGTGTTGCATGGCGTGAATGCTGTGAACCCATGGCAGTGTACTGCTCATGCATGGGGTGGATGGGCTCGGCAAAAAGGGAGTGTGGAGGGCATGGGTGAGTGGAGAACTGATGTGGAGGAAAACACAGTGTGAATGGGGTTGGTGTGTTGTGTGAAGAAATCAATGCTCCGCTACATAGTTCCAAGGTAAACAAGTTTCAGATTTTCCTATTCTGGTGGTTCTGTTCCTTACTCTAACCTTTCCGGTTTTGCTCTGTATTTTCCTCATTACTCATTGGCAGGCTTGGCATTGACGAAGAGCTGGTGTCTCTGCTTGGGAAATATTCACCGGTAAGCCAGTTGCAGAAAATGTTGGTTCCTCTTTTGTGACGGTCGTCGATTTTTTAACTACCACCATTGCCGTCCTATGTTCAAGCTTCCATCGAAGTCCCCTTCCTCACTTGGTTTCTTTTGTCCTTCCTCACTTGGTTTCTTTTGTGCCGCTTCCCTGTTCCTCGCAGATCCCGGTGACCTATGCAGGAGGTGTTCGCTCACTTGAGGACCTTGAGATTGTGAAGGCAGCTGGAAGGGGAGCGGTGGATGTGACTGTAGGAAGTGCCCTCGACATCTTTGGAGGGGAACTGCCATACAGAGAGGTCGTGGAGTGGCATAGAAGCCAATCAATGGTCTAGCGATCAAGCAGTTGCTTTGCTGCTCTCTCTGCTGTAGTTGGCAGGAGGATGATTCATGAGATTGTAATTAGTCTTTGTCAATCCGCTCGAAGATCTGTACTGGCTTGCCTCAACAACACTCAATAGGAATACTCGGGTTCATATCGAGGATGGGATGGTGGTTGGCCAATGTGTGGGCTTCGCGCCATTCACCAACGGCACAGCCGCTTCCGCCAGAAAATTTGGCGCAAAGCAACCAGCCCAGCTCCACGCGATGTTTTCAGCCGTCGATGGACAATCGACAGCTAACCGCAGCCAATCCGCTGAAAGATCGCCCGGTAATAGAACACCGCGAATGGAGAATCATGCAGGATGATCACGCGAGTGCCAGCTTGAGGGAACATCAGCAGCCTGCACCTGCCGCTGGGACATCCTCTCACATGCTACTTCGCCTTTCCTGTCAACATGCATGGTGCTAATGGCGGTTGCTAACTCACACTTGACATCGCCGCAACCAAACCAGAAGTAACTGGACGGAAGGAGTCAGGGGTGCTACGACTCTACGGCAGCTGCTCACGCCTGGTCGTTCACCTAGCTAAACCAGCCGCTAAATTTGCCGCACTTAGTCACACCAGACGACTGGTTCGGCTTCACTAAGTAGGCCACGTCCCTCAGTAGTCAATTTTGGTGCTTTCTGGCGTAAAGCCCCTCGACGTGCAACTAGGTAATCTTTTTCCTTGTTAATCGGCGAAGGTAGCGCGAACCGCGGCGGCAGCATGCGAGTCCCTCCGTCGCGAGTCGTCGCGCCGTACCCGATGGACTCGCGAGGTGCGAAGGAACAGACAGGACCGAAGAATGACAGCGGAAACTGCGAAACATTTCTTCCCATTTTCGGTACAGTCACACCCGATTTTATCACGAGCCAAGGCCGGTTGCCAAGTCCGCTCGTCTTTCTCGTGCGAGCCTGCGGCGACGGTGCCGCGAATACCAACTCTCTCGGTAGTAGTAGCAACAATAGCAGCGAAAGCAACGGCGGAAGCCATAGCAGTGGCAGCAGCGAGGGGAATCGTGCCTTAGACGAAAGCCAAGGGCCCTCGGTGAAGTGCGGGAGGCAATGCGGCGGGATGGAGTGCGGTGGGAGGGAGTGCGAGGGGCTGGAGGTGCTGGTGTCGGACTTCTGCGGCAGCTCGTGGCGCACGCGGCTGTCGCGAGACGACCTTGAAGACGAGGTGCGGCAGCTTGCCTTTCAATACACAAATGGCGGGCAGCTGCTGGTGCAGTAGCTCTTAGTGTGGCAGCTCCTAATGCGATAGCTCCCGCGGCAGTCTTTCTTAGCTCTTGCGACATTGGTAGTTCCTTGGCAGATCCAAAAAAGCGATCGAGTCGCCTCAAACATAGGCAGCTCCTAGTCCAGCAGCTAGTATGGTTGCACAAATCCGTTTCGCAAAAGTACTTAGTTGGAGTGATTTCTTGAAAATTTTCGATATTTTTTTATCCGTCAATGCTTTCGTTTCTGGCTCGCGGCTTTCGTCATGATTTCCGGTACAGCGGACTTTCTGACAGCCTGACAAAATTTTCCCCCGTCCGATCTGCCATTGCCATTCTTGGACGGCGCGCGCCGTGCAGAAGGACGACCTCGGAGTGGGTAAGAGCTTCGCGGACTTCCTCGCGTTGATCCAAGTGTCGCTCTCCTCGCGCCACGTTACTGTCACACCCGCTCTCGCCCGAGCGCGACCCAACCAAGGTAACTCTCATCATCGCTACTAGGTATGGGCTCCACCGCTTTACCCCACAGCCGCCTCTTAAAAGGCTTGCTCGCCTATGTTTATGCCCGTCCGTCAGTTGCTATCAGTTCTTCTTTTGCGTGTCTAATATCACTGCTCTTTCCCGTCCGTTATGATCTAAAATCTTGGCCGTCCGATTCTACCCTTCCATCTGCTCACTCCAATCGCAGCGCCCCTGCCCGCCAGTCATTCCCCCGCCCTCGATACAATCACGCTCACGGGCCAAAAGGAGGAAGGCGCTCCGCGAATCAGATTTAAACTAAAGCGAGTGGATTGGCCGGGAAGAGACGCCGGAGGAGGGGAGGGGAAAACTGACGCTGGCTTGGAACAACCGTTGATCTCACACTCGCACTCGTTACAGTCACACACGTTACAGTCATCCTCGTTAGAAGCAATCGAGTCAGCCACGTCCCCAGCCTCGTCGTCCCTGTTCCCGTCGTGCAAATCAGTGGCGGCGGAAATCGCGTTCGCGCTCGTGAGGGACCGACTGCAGCTGGAGAAGACGCTTAGACGAGGTGAGCGAGCGGGCGGAGGGGAGGGGGGGCCGAGGGGAGGGGATGGGAGGAGCAAGCGAATGCGGCTGGTTTTTGAGTCGAATCAAACATGTCAAATCGCGTTCGCGCTTGTGAGGGACCGACTGCAGCTGGAAAAGACGCTTCGACGAGGTGAGCGAGCGGGCAAAGGGGAACGGGGGGAAGGGGATGACGGGCGGGACCGACTCCTGTTGGAGAAGACTCTTAGACGAGGTGATCGAGGGGCGGTGGAAGGGAGTGGATGGAAAAAGGGGGAGCAAACGATCTGAGGCTGTTTCTTTAGTCGACTCTAGAGTCATCTCGAATCAGGGGCAGCGGGAAGCGCGTTTGCGGTTGTGAGAAATCGACTCGAGTGGGAAAAGATTCTTAGACGAGGTGGGTGAAGGGAGGGGAGGGGAGGGAAGAGAAGCCGGCGACTGGCGGTTATGAGAGCGGGCATGAGTTAACGCCCATGTGTTTTTTCACAAATAGGCTGTAGAGAGGGGGTTTCTGCCAGCACAGTCACGATGGTTCGGCCTTTTCCTTCTTCCTCCCCTCCCTTGCCTTATCCCCTCTGACTTATGTGTTCCCCCCTCACTCAGAGCGCGCCAAGCACGTGAGGCAAATGGCAGAGGTGGAGAAAGAGAAGGTAAGCTTTGGGCGGGCGAGCGGGTGGCATGGAGGGCACGGGTAACTTAATTTCAGATTCGCTAGTGTTGGTGCAGCAGGAGAAGAGGAGGGAGGGAGGGAGGGAGGGTGAGGAGGATAGGTTCGGCGAGAGTGGAAGCGAGTTGTCCGGAGGTCACAAGTCCAGCCTGCCTGTCTAGCTGACTAGCCAGTCAGGATTTGGATCAAGTGGCTTATGACTAGTCAGCCTGTTTGGGATGGCGTGTTCAGGATTTGGAGGGAAGGAGAGATTATCTGGTTGGACGTGTGTGTGTCTCCCTGCTTGTTCAACCGCTTTTCACCATATCTTCCTTCACCCTTTCAACGTCGCTGCATACCTGCGTGTGTGTCTTGATCAGGCCACAGTTCTCAGTTACAACCCTCTGGTTCACCCCAAGTCGTTGCCTCACCCTTTTCCTCCGCATTTCACCCTTTTCCTCCGCATTTCACCCTTTTCCTCCGCATTTCACCCTTTTCCCTTCGCCATTCCGCTGCCCCCACATGGCCCCGCGTGTGCCTGTGTGTTGAGCAGGACGCAGCTCGCAGCTACGGCATTCTGGGCCCCCCCAAGTCCAAGCTGGCCCGCTCGAGATCCGCCTCGCGAATGACAGGCAGCCACGTGGCACCTGCCCCCTCTCGCTCCCTTTCACACTCGCAGTCGATGTCACGCTCGCATGGCCATGCGCCTTCCCAGAAAAATTCTCGGGCGGCATCAGCATCAGCATTACCTTCAGGAGCACCATCAGCGTCAGCACCAGCGTCAGTGATTGCAGTACCAACAGCATCGGCACGGGATACAGCAGGTACCACAATAGCTCGCTCAGGTAGCGGTCAGGGGCAGGATTCGCAGCAGTCGCAGCATTGGCAGCACGGGCAGCAGCCGCAGCAGGGGCAACAGCAGCTGCAGCAGGGGCAACAGCAGCTGGGGTCTATGTCACAAGATCCCTTGTTATTGTCGCAGGGTGGCTCTCAAGGCTGGCTGGTGGAGTCGCAGGGGACAACAGAGGATGCAGCAGCACAGATGGCACCGTTACAGTCACACCCAGTACTGTCCCAGTTGGATTCTCAGTCCCAGCCGTTTTTATCTCAGTCAGAGCCTGTCATTCCACGTGCCTACAGCAGAACAGGGGGGGAGAGAGGAGGAGGAGAGGTGATGATGGGAGCAGGGGGGAGGGAGGAGGATACAGGGAGAAGGGCAGAAGGCAGCCTGGTGGGTTCAGGAGGAAGACCAGGAGCGGCAGCAGGAGGTGGTGTAGCAAGTGCAATGATGGCACGAGATAATGCTGCTAGTCAAAGGCGGCTCCAGCAAAGAAGGCAGCCTGTGCCGTTCTCTAGAAGGTACGGTGTGGAGTGGTGCAGGGTTGATTATGAGGTATGAGGTGTCTCGCAAGTTTGATAAGGACCGATGTTTGTTTGTTTGTTTATTTTGTTTTTGTTTCCTTTCTTTTCTTTTCTTTCTTGCTTGCATTGCACTATTGCTAACCTAAGTACGCTCCTTCTTCCACCTTGATTCTGCATGTAATGTGCAGGGTTAAAAGACGAACGCTGGGCACTAAACTCACCACTGACGGAGATGATGATGATGATGACGAAGATGATTTCTGACTGGCTCTGACTAACACGCATTGTTGACTTGGAAGCTTCTAATTCCAATCCTGTATAGATAAAGGTTGTGTATTGGATTTGTGTTTTGCATAGTCTGTAACATGTAATAGCGCCTATATTGAAAAGAAACCGCTTCGTGACGGAACATTGTTCGAATTTCAAGGCTACAATCAACTCTCCTCTGCTGCTGTCCGCTCTGTGTTGACCCCGCCTTGATATCACCGCTTTCCACGGGCTCAGCTAGACGTCGAGGTTGAAAGCGATTTTAAGACACGTGTCTCCGACGTGTCACGCTTCCAGTGTCAGAAAGATGCCGCTCCTTCTCGCTCACTATCGGCCAATGCTCGATCCAACGCCACGTGGCAGTCCATTGTAGGGCTACCGCCGGCACGATTACGTTTTCCTTCGTGTGAGGTCCTAATCCGAAAATAAGTACATGTGGTGTTTAACTGCCACTTAATTTCTGCTCAGTGGTAGCTTCTACTTATTTTGGCGATAAGCTCTCCAGGGTGCCTACTTATTCCTACGCGGTAATAACCGTTAGATCCTCTTCATGCCCGTGTCGCTTCGCCACGGCTCCACATTCGCACCGCCCGCCGCTCTCTCTCCGCGCTTCCGCGGCAGTTCCGCCTACGGCGTAGCTTTGGTTGCGGCAGGGTGCATTCTCGTTATAATCAGCCTCGTTTGGTCAGATATAAGCCAGCCCAAGTCCTTCGCTCTTAACTCCTCGCTCGTCCCGCAGAAACGATTGACTGAAGCCAAAGCAGAAGCAGCCGGAGAAGGAACCGCATGGAAGGTCGCAGAAACAGGAGCAGGAGCAGCGGCAAGGAAGGCAGCAGAAGCAGAAGCAGAATCATTGAATGAAGTTGGTCTGGGCTTCGGTGTGGGCTTCGGTTCGGGTCCATTTAGGGATGATGCAGCATTGACCCCACGCAGTGATGATTCTGCGGCACTGATTCCCATTCTTGCCTCGCCGGGAACTGATGGTAGTACCAGTATTATAGCAACTGATAGTGATGGTACAGTGCTTTCTGCTGTCAACAGAAGAGCAGCACCAGACGTACTGGTAGCAGAAGCAGCGGGCACAGCAGCAGGAACAGGTGGAGGGGCAGTTGAAGGGGCAGGTGAAGGGGCAGGTGAAGGAACAGCTGTTGCAGCAGCAGAAACTAAACCGGGTGTAAGGTCTGTTGGTCACAGCTCAGCATCATCCCCACCGTCCATTCCCACCACAGCCGAGGGCCTTCAGAGCATCATCGGCCAATGGGATCACATCCCTGGATCCATCCTCGCCACGTCAGCACAGGTCCAGTCCTTCCGAGACCGTTTCACCTGCATCAGCAGGAACGGACGGTGGAGATTCAACACCACGCCGCGGCTACTGCCATGGCCGGGCGAGATGAGTTCGTGTGATGAGCGGCACATGGGGGCCGTGCCGGGAGCAGTGGCGATGCGTGAGGCGGATAGGTTGGTGGAGGAGGGGCGGGGAGAGGTGGAGTGGAAGGTGAGAGAAGCACTCAAGTATGAATGGAGGGTGGAAGGGGACGGAGAAGGGGAGGGCGTGGGCGGGGAAGGGGGAGAGGGCAGTAACATCAGCAGTAGCAGCAGCAGCGGCGTCGGCGGCGGCGGCAGCAGCAGTAGCGGTGGTGGCGGTGGTGGCGGGAGCAGTGGTGCCTCAAGCACCCCCAGCAGCAGCAACAGCCAGGGTACATGTGGGCGGTGGGAGCGATTCTCAGGCGAGGCTCTCTGCCGGGCGATAGCAGGGCGCAACGTGATGGTGGTGGGGGACTCGCTGAGCCTGCAGCTGGCGCACGCCCTGCGTTACAACGTGCGCGTGGGCGCGGAGGACCCCAAGGAGCGCGTGCGGCGCGGACGCATCTCGGTGCTGTGCAAATGGATGCGGGGCGCGTCGTACTCCCCGTGGCTGTCGCTGCAGCGCTGCTGGACCGCTGTGCTGTGCGGGGATGTGGGGGGGAGAAGGGAAGGGGATGGGCAAGGGAGGTCGGGGATTGATATTGGGGAGAGGGTGGGGATGCGGAGGGGAGGAGCGAGAACAGCAGCAGCAGCAGCAGCAGGAGCGGCAGTGAGGAAGGAAGCCCACCTTCACCTGCTCGATCCTCTCTGGCGTTCAACCTCTCCTTCGTGCGAGATGACTACCTGCTCTCGCCCGCCTGGCGCAACCAGTGGCTCACCAAGCGCGTGCAGGGCTCGTGGGTGGACGATCTGCGGGGGGAGAACGTGTCGATTCTGATTGTCAACCGCGGCGCGCACTTCACTCCGCACGAGTCGTTCGCCTGGGAGGTTTCCGGGCAGCTGGCTTGGCTGAGAGAGCAGTTTCCGGATCTGCTGATTGTTGTGCGCGGGACGCCGGCGGGGCATAGGGAGTGCATGCGTTACGACCGTCCCTTGGAAAAGAAGGTTGGAAAGGATAATTCGAGTGATAGTGATAGGCGTGGTGGGAGTTTTGAGCATGTAGATAAGTATAATTGGGAGAAGTTTGCACACCAGAATGAAGTTGCGAGGAAAGTGGCGGAGGCGGTGGGGGCTGTGTATATGGATGTGGAGAGTATGACTGAGCTGAGGCCTGATTCACATAGAGGGGCCAAGGATTGCCTTCATTACTGTCACCCTGGGCCAATTGATGGTTGGGTGCAGTTGTTGTACAATATGTTACTTGACCTTCTTCCTGTATCTTAATGTTTTAAAGGGAATGGTGCTACTGGCTTGAACAGAGAATGGTGCCCTGTTAAGGGATTCAAAGTTTAAGGTTGTCTGGTTAATATGCAATGTGTTTATTCAATGCAAGCTTGATCACTATTTTGCAAGCTAGTGAAGCTCGTCGAATCCAAGGTGCAGTCAAATGCTTCCGAAACGAATCTGTTCCAAGCGAGACATATACTCCCTTCCAGAACCTCCCTTCAACCCTCCCCAATTCACCGATTCAGACCTTGGGGTTGGGGCACAATTCTCAGGGTTTTCATCCGTCCGTCAGAAAGCTCAGTCCTCTTGATTGCCTTGCAGCTTCCGTCACCGCTTCGTTTCAACAGCCTCTATACCCTTCGCTGGAGTTTTCGGTACAGCCATTATAATGGCTGCAGAGGAGGAGTTACGGCCGGTAGAGGCGAATAAAGACGTGGCCGAAGCGGGAGAAGCCGCAGAGGAGATGAAAGCGGTCGATGGGGCGTCGGAGGATGGGCAGGAGGACGACGGGAGCGAGGATTTCAACAAACTGATTCCGGATTCCGATTCGTCAGATTCGGAAGCGAGTGAAGGGGAGGGGGGAAGCGACGAGGAGGAGGAGGAGGAAGAGGGAAGGGGCGAGAAGCGAGAGGGTGCGTCTGGAGCCAGTCTGGCAGCGGCGCAAGCTCAAGCGGAGAGAAAATCCGCATTGCAGGCGGCGCGATTGGCGCGCGAGCAGAAGCGCGCAGATGCAGCGGCGGAGCGGAAGGAGCGGCGCGCGCTGAAGGACCTGTTGCGGCGGCCGTGGGAGGCGGGGGAAGCCGGCGGGGGAGATGGCGGAGAGGATGGGGGGAAAGAGGAGGAGGTGCAGGGGAGTGATGCTGAGGAAGAGGAGGGGGAGGAGGGGGAGGAGGGGGAGGAGGGGGAGGAGGGTTCAGAAGGCGAGGGGGATGATGAGGAAGAGGAGGAGGAAGATGAGGAAGAGGAAGGAGAGGAGGGAGAAGAGGGAGAGGAGGAAGATGAAGAGGAAGAGGGCGAGGAGAGCGAAGAGGAAGGGGAGGCAGAAGAAGGGGAGGAGGGGGAGGAGCGAGAGGGGCGGGAGGGCGATGGCGCGGGTCATGCGGCGGAGGAGAGCGACTCCTCGGAGGACGAGGTGCGCCCGCTCTCCCCCTCCCACTCTCCCCCCCTCCCACTCTCCCCCCCTCCCACTCTCCCGCCCTCCCACTCTCCCGCCCTCCCACTCTCCCGCCCTCCCACTCTCCCGCCCTCCCACTCTCCCGCTCTCCCACTCTCCCGCCCTCCCGCTCTCCCCCTCCTTCTCCCTCTCCCGCCCCGCCCTCTCTCCCCAACTCCCACTCTCCCGCCCTCCCACTCTCCCGCCCTCCCACTCTCCCGCCCTCCCACTCTCCCGCCCTCACGCTCTCCCGCTCTCCCCCTCCTCCCTCTCCCGCCCTCCCACTCTCCCGCTCTCCCACTCTCCCGCCCTCCCACTCTCCCGCCCTCCCACTCTCCCGCCCTCCCACTCTCCCGCCCTCCCACTCTCCCCCTCTCCCACTCTCCCGCCCTCCCGCTCTCCCCCTCCTTCTCCCTCTCCCGCCCCGCCCTCTCTCCCCAACTCCCACTCTCCCGCCCTCCCACTCTCCCGCCCTCCCACTCTCCCGCCCTCCCACTCTCCCGCCCTCCCACTCTCCCGCCCTCACGCTCTCCCGCTCTCCCCCTCCTCCCTCTCCCGCCCTCCCACTCTCCCGCCCTCCCACACTCCCGCCCTCCCACTCTCCCGCCCTCCCACTCTCCCGCCCTCCCACTCTCCCGCCCTCCCACTCTCCCGCTCTCCCACTCTCCCGCCCTCCCGCTCTCCCCCTCCTTCTCCCTCTCCCGCCCCGCCGTCTCTCCCCAACTCCCACTCTCCCGCCCTCCCACTCTCCCGCCCTCCCACTCTCCCGCCCTCCCACTCTCCCGCCCTCACGCTCTCCCGCTCTCCCCCTCCTCCCTCTCCCGCCCTCCCACTCTCCCGCCCTCCCACTCTCCCGCCCTCCCACTCTCCGCCCCTCCCACTCTCCACCCCTCCCACTCTACCGTTCCTTCTCGTCCCCTAGCCCCTTCTCCTGCCCGCACTCCCATTCTTCCCCCCTTCACAGGGGCAACACGGTGGGCAAGGCCCCTCTGGGGTGGTACAAGGAGGAGGGGGCACGAGGAGTTGCGAGTCCCTTTTGAGTGGTAACACGGTGGGCAAGAATCAAGATACACTCAAAAGCCTTCACGGGGGCAACACGGTGGGCAAGGCCCCTCTGGGAAGGTACAAGGAGGAGGCGGCACGATGAGTTGCGAGTCCCTCTCACCCTTTTCCTTTCCCCACCCCCTTTCACCCCCACGGGCCAATGTCTTCCCCGCCTTGCTCCCCTTCCCCTTCCCCTCCTACCCTCCAGCGCCCATCGCGCAACACGGTGGGCAAGGTGCCTCTGGAGTGGTACAAGGAGGAGGGGCATATTGGGTACGACAGGAAGGGGCGACTTGCACAGTCGTACCTTCCCCTCCTCCCCTCCCTGCTCTTCCTTCCCTCCCTCCCCCCTTCCTTCCCCCCTCCCCCCGTCCTTCCCCCTCCAGCGCCCATCGCGCAACACAGTGGGCAAGGTGCCTCTAGAGTGGTACAAAGAGGAGGGGCACATTGGGCATGACAGGGAGGGGCGTCTTGCACACTCATACCTTCCCTTCCTCCCCTCCCTGCTTTTCCCCTCCCCCCTCCAGCGCCCATCGCGCAACACGGTGGGCAAGGTGCCCCTAGAGTGGTACAAGGAGGAGGGGCACATCGGGTACAACAGGGAGGGCAAGCGCATTATGAAGCAAAAGGGGCGCGCCTCTAAGGGGGACAAGCTCGACGAGTTCCTCGCCCACACTGACGACCCTGACGCGTGGTGCGTTGAGTTGCTGTGGTACTGGTGGTTGGGGGGGTGAGGTATTGCGAGTGTGTGGCAAGGGTGCTGGTGTGTGTGGAGTGTAGCTGGTGGGGTGTTAGTGGGTGGTGCAGTGCGGGGTGCTGCTGTGTGTGCTGGGTAAGTTTTTGCGAGTGCGTGGCAAGGGTGCTGTGTGTGTGGTCGGAGCATAGCTGCTTATCAGAGTGGCCTCTAAGGGGGACAATGGACGATTTTCCCTGCTCACACTGATGACACCAACGCCTGCTGCGTGCAACTGGGGAGCTAGTTGGTTGTTGGAGAGGGGAGACATTTCAGTCCGCTCAAAGGAGCTGGGGTAATGTGGGCTGGTGGGTGGGCTGGTGGGTGGGCTGGGGTATCACGAGCGTGCCGTGCGGGCGCTGAGAGTTTAATTGAAATCCTTTCTCTGTGCATCTTTCCTGTTGGATCTTTCCAGGAAGGTGGTGTACGACGAGTACAACGATGAGGAGATCCGGCTGACAGAGGAGGACATTGATATGATTCGTAGAATCAGGGAGGGGCGCACCCCACACGCCCACGTCAACCCCTATGAAGTGAGTGATCCGAGCTGCGCTGAGCTGAGCTCAGCTGAGGCGTAGCCAACTATCTGCAGAGATCCGGCTGAGCTGACAGAGGAGGACATTGATATGATCCGTAGAATCAGGGAGGGGCGCACCCCACATGCCAATGTCAACCCCTACGAGGTGAGCCGGCCTGAGCTGAGTTGATTCAAGTAGAGGTAAGTAGATTTGATTTGAGTGGTGGTTGCCTCAACAACAGGCCAAGGGACCCATTAGTTGAAATGAGGTCACTTCAATGAGGTTACTTTGAAATGAGGAAAAGCATGAGGCCCCCTTTCCGCACCACACCCCACCACCACCCCTTCCCCCCCACTCCCCCCCAACATTGCAGCCAGTTTGTTTGCTTCTGAGAATCCCAATGTCTTTCGCCTTTCCCCACTCCTCGTCCCCTCGCTCCCCCCAGCTATACCTTGACTGGTTTGACTGGGATGAGAAGTGAGGTCCCCTCACACTCAATTGGGTTTGTCTGGCTTTAAAACCCACTGCTCATTTCCAAACCCCCACTGCTCACTTCCATACCCCCCTTCTCACGCCCCCCTCTCTCCCCACAGCCATACCTGGACTGGTTCGACTGGGATGAGAAGTGGGATCCACTCAATGCGCAGCCGGAGCCCAAGAGGCGCTTCACCCCCTCCAAGCACGAGGCCAAGCAGGTGAGCGGGCGAGCAGGTGAGCGGGCGAGCAGGTGAGCGGGCGAGCAGGTGAGCGGGCGAGCAGGTGAGCGGGCGAGCAGGTGAGCGGGCGAGCAGGTGAGCGGGCGAGCAGGTGAGCGGTCGAGCAGGTGAGCGGGCGAGCAGGTGAGCGGGCGAGTGTATGGGTAGATGGGCTGGATGGATGGAAAAGGCAGTGCACACGAGGCTGCAGTGGGGGATTGCGCTCCATGCCATGCCATGCCATGGTGATGGGAGAGTCGGTCTGGGTGATTCTTTTTCGTGTGTGGTGCATGCAGAATCGCATTGACTCGTGATTGCGGCATGGAGGTCAATAGGTAGGTTTAGAAGGTACTATATGGCGAACTGATTCCTTTAACTGCTGCTGCTGCTGCTGCTCCCATCGCCGCCACATCTTTTCCCTCTTCCTCCCCGTCTTCCTGTTTCGTCTCCCACTTACCACCGCCGGCCATCCCCACCGTTTATCACCTCCCGCTCCTGTCCAACTCTCCCTCGCTCCACACGCAGAATGTGACTTTTGCAGGGCCAGCCTGCGGAAACGGGCCGCTTTTGATCGTCTCCTTTTGGACCGCCAAACCCCTTCCTCCCCCCCCACTTTTTCCCATGCAGATAGTGCGGCTGGTGCGAGGACTGAGAAAAGGAACGATCAAGACTTTAGCGCAGAGGGAGAAGGAGCGGAAGCAGAAGGAGAGCGAGGGGCAGCAGCAGGCGGTGTACCTGCTGTGGGGGGACGACCTTAAAGCCATCACCTCTCAGTCTGACAAGACCAAGAACGTCAACGGACTCAGCTTCGTCGCCGCTCCCAAACCCAAACTGCCAGGTCAGCCCACACTGCCAGGTCAGCAGCATTGTGCAATACGTGCACACATGAATGTTTGCTGATCTGTCACGTCTGCATGGCTTGGTTTGAGTCCCAGACGCGGCCCTTTTCATGCCAAGAAATGCAAAATTCAACTGGCGGCAATTTCTGAAATCTGTCAAGCCCTAAAAGTCGGTTTTGCCATTGCACGGGTCGTGGTCAGGCACGGGAAGGCTCGTGGCTCTCCCCGTGCCTTCGCTGTCCCCTCGCATGTGGCATGTGCACACCACATGCCACAGGCCACGAGGAGTCGTACAACCCGCCAGTGGAGTACATACCAACGGAGGAGGAGGTGGCGGCTTGAGCCGTGGCATTGCCTCATGACTCTGTGCTCTGCCCTGCCCTGCCCTGCCCTGCCCTGCCCTGCCCTGCCCTGCCCCCTCAGGCCACGAGGAGTCATACAGCCCACCGGTGGAGTACATGCTCACGGAGGAGGAGGAGGTGGCAGAGGCAGCTTGACCTGTGGCAGTGACTCATAACACTGCCCTTCTTACCCGTCTACCCTGTCCTGTTGTCTGCTCTCTCTCGCAGGCCACGAGGAGTCGTACAACCCGCCAGTGGAGTACATACCAACGGAGGAGGAGGTGGCGGAGAAGATGATGCAGGCGGAGTATGAAGGCACCTCCGACTCGCTCTTCGTGCCCAAGCAGTACGTCTTGTGCAGCGAGTGGTTGTTGCTGCGCTGGTCGTGTAAGCAGTGCGTTCTGTGTGTGCTGTGCTGTGCTGGCACTGTTCCTGTTGCCTTGGATGGAAGGACGTTCCCTCCACGACGCGGTCTGTGAAGCATCTCTAAGGGCAACCAGGTGGAATATGATATGAAGGCACTCCCACTCCTTCTTCCTGCACAAGCAGTGAGTGTATGCACAAGCAGTACGTTCTGTCGGGTTTGAGAATTCTTAAAACCTACCTGGTGCAGTGAGTGCAGTTCTGTGCTGTGCTGCGTCTGTGCCTGTTGCCTTGTAAGCTCCCTGCACCGTGGCGAACTGTGAAGTGAAGCAATAAAGGGCATCCAGGCAGAGTATGAAGGTCACCTCCGACTCTCTCTTCTCGCCCAAGCATTGAGTGTGGCCGTGCCGGCGTATTGAGACATCTCAAAGCTCCTCTGCTCACCTCGCCTCTCCTCCCCCACCTCCCCTACCCCCCACAATCACCAGGTACACCTCGCTGCGCTCCGTGCCGGCGTATCCTCGCTTCATTCGAGAGCGCTTCGAGCGATGCCTCGACCTCTACCTGTGCCCGCGTGTCAAGAAGAACCGGGTGCGTTGCCGTGGGAGAGTGCATGCATTGTGTTGGATTTGTTTATTTTTCTGAACTTTATTTGGTTAGAAATTGTTTATTGGTGTTCCATGTGACACACAGCATCACTGCGCTACTTCTCTGTCGCTTGCCCTCTCGTTCTTCCACCCTCCCTTGTTGCTCAGCATCTCCTTTTCACCCATGCTTATTGCCCTTTCTTCCCCGCCCCCTCCCTATTCTCCCATTCCCCCTTCTCCCCTGCCCTTGTCATTACCACGTGCGTCTCCTCCTCGTCCCGTCCCAACTCCCCCCCTCCCCTCACCCCCTCCCCTCCCCCCTCCCCCTGTCCCCTGCCCCCCCTGCCTTCGCTCCTCGCTCAGATCATGATCGATCCTGATGCGCTGCTCCCCAAGCTGCCCAAGAGGAAGGATCTGCGTCCCTTCCCGCACTCCCTCTCGCTGCGCTACCTGGGCCATCGAGCCACTGTGCGCTCGCTCTCCCTGCACCCCTCGGGGCAATGGCTCGCCTCAGGTGGGCGTCAAATTGTCTGGTTGATCGGAACCTCATTGCCTCGGGGATGCGTGTGCCGCTGTGATTGCCTTCCCGCACTCCCTCTCGCTGCGCTACCTGGGCCATCGAGCCACCGTGCGATCGCTCTCCCTGCACCCGTCTGGGCAATGGCTTGCTTCAGGTACCATCCATCCATCCATCCACTGTCATTCGCATTGATTCGCCTTTTCACCGCGTGGAATGGAGCTCCAGTAGTAGACCACGTTCAATACTAGGCCCATTTGAGTGCTTCCACCAAGGCCACGCACCGCACCACACCGCACCGCACCGCACCGTGTACATTCCGGGGCCCAGTCCAGATACGTTTCTGGCGAGTGTCTGTTAAAGGAGGACAGGACACCACACGCCATGCCAACCCTTGTTCCTCATCCCCCTTCCCATCTTCTCCCCTCTGCACCCCTCTCCATTCCTCCTCACCGCACTGCAGGCAGCGATGACGGCACAGTGAGGGTGTGGGAGGTGGACACCACGCGGTGCAGACAAGTGCATGCCACACCAGCCCCCGTTTTGCTTCCCCCTCCCATCTTCTCTCCTCTCCACTCCTCTGCACCGCACTGCAGGCAGCGATGACGGCACAGTGAGGGTGTGGGAGGTGGACACCATGCAGTGCAGCGCACCATTGCCCTGTTCCCAACCCCTCTGTACTCCTCTCCACCCCTCTGCACCGCACTGCAGGCAGTGATGACGGCACAGTGAGGGTGTGGGAGGTGGACACCACACGGTGCCGGAGGGTCATCCAAATGCCAGCGGCAGTCAAGCACGTGGCGTGGAGCCCTGCTGCCTCCCGCCCCATCCTCGCCATCACCTCGTGAGCCCCCCCCACCTCCCCACCTCCCCACCTCCCCACCTCTCCCCTCCCCTCCTCTTATCACGTCTCCTCCCCTCCCCTCTTCTCCCCCCCTTTCCTCTCCTTTCGTCTCGTACTCTCCTCTCCCCCCCCCCTCTCCCCCTCTTCTCCTCTTTTATTCTCTCTTCCTTCGTCCTTCCTTTCCGCATCCGCCCTCCCCTCCTCCTCCCCACCCCCCTACAACAGAGGCACGGATGTGGTGTTGCTGCCAGGGGAGGGAGGGGCGGAGGAGGAGGAGAGGGCGGTGGAGCAGCTGTTAGAGGCCAAGGACGGGTGGAAGGAAGGTGCGTGGGGATGGGTGGGGTATGGGTATTGATGGGGCATGGGGGCATGGTTGCATGCATGGGTGAGTGGAGCTGCTGCTGGAGGCCAAGGACGGGTGGAAAGAAGGTGGGTGGGGATGGGTGTTGATGGGTGCGGAATGGGTGGGGGATGGGTTTGGATGGGTGTGGATGGGAAATGGGGTTGTTACAAGTTTGTATAAATTCCCGGAGAAGATGCTCTGTGTTCCATTCCATGCTTCAACAACTCGTCCCCTACGCCCATCAGTTGCTTCATTCTCTATGTTTCTGTGACGTGTCACAAATCACAACAGCCGTTGAGTCGAAACCCAGCTGTTTTTGTTTTTTTTCTCCGCCACAGACGCGGGAGTCGGGGTAGGGGTGACATGGAGCGCGTACAAGGGGGAGGGAGGCAAGCTCAAGGGTCTACGGCTCAGACACCAGGAGGTAAGTGCTGGCGCTGCTGTACGGTATTTGAGTCTACTCAAAAGACGCGGCAGCAGGGGTAGGGGTGACATGGAGCACGTATAAGGGGGAGGGAGGCAAGCTAAAGGGCCTAAGACTCAGGCACCAGGAGGTGAGACTTTATGCAGGTAGTTAGTACAAACATACAAAACCTTAAACCTTAACCCAGACAAGTTGATAGCTCTTCTGTAGCACAGAATAGGTTAACCTCACTGCTTCACTCAGCTCTCTCACTCTGCACTGCACTGTGTTCCTTCGTATGTGTACTTGTACCCACATCTAGTTTTGAGGCGCCTCAAAACTGTACTTGTACCCACATCTGAACCCAATTTTCTTTCTGACAACTCCACATCGTTTCTCTACCATGCGTGTGGTGTGGCAGCTCCTCAAAAGCCGACTCTTCTGCTCCCTTCTCGTGTTTCCCGCTGCGATCCCGCCCACCTATCCTATCCACTGCTCCCATGCAGCAAGTGTCGAGTGTCACGTGGCATCGCAAGGCCGACTACTTTGCCTCCGTCTCTCCCAATGATAAGCCCTTCCTCCTTCCTGCTTTCTGCTTTTCAGTTCTTGCTTCCTAGTTCTTCATTCTCAAGTCTTGCCCATTGATTGCCGATTAGTTTTCCTACCAGCAGTTTTTCCACAACTGCTTAGTACACAGCATTTGCACTCGTTCTCTTCCGTGTCTGGTGAGAATCCCGTTTTCCTGCTCGTCTGCTCCTCCTCTCGTCCTGCTTTCGTTGTCTCCCCCACTGTCTTCGTCCTTCCCTCGTTGCCCAGCATCTTTCCCACTCCGCCCCTCTTCCTCCTCCCCGCCTTGGCTCCATTCCCTCCCTCCACGTGGCAGAAGGGCAGTGGTGATCCAACAGCTCACCCGCCATGCATGGCAGTGCCGCTTCAAGACCCATTTAATCCTTTCAATCCTTGTGTTCGATCTGTACTTAATCTCCTAACAATATTCTCTTGTCCATGGTCTTCTCCGTCCTCTCTCCCTCCCTCCACGTGGCAGCAGGGCAGTGGTCATCCACCAGCTCACCCGCCGCGCCTCTCAATGCCCGTTCAAGAAGGCAGCAGTGGGCGGGGACCGGCGCATTGCAGCGGTGGCCTTCCACCCATCTAAGCCCATCCTCTTCGTGTCGTCACGCACGCTCGTGCGCTCGTACCACCTGCTGCGGCTGTGCCTGCTGAGGAAATACATGCCCAACATCAAGCAGATTTCTTCTCTGGCGATCCATCCCTCAGGTAGGGCTTGTGAGTGAGGTGCCTCAAAAGAGAGGTCTGCTGAGGGAGTTACATCCGTGTCCTTCCACCCATCTAAACCCATCCTCTTCGTGTCGTCGCGCAAACTCGTGCGCTCGTACCACCTGCTGCGCCTCTGCCTGCTGCAGAAATACATGCCCAGCATCAAGCAGATCTCCTCACTCGCCATCCACCCCTCAGGTGGGCCAGGGTGGGACAACTAGTAGACGCTGTGTCTGTAGATCTGTCCTCCCCTCCTCCACCCACCTACCATCTGTTGCGCCTCTGCCTGCTGCGGAAATATTGCCCAACATCAAGCAGATCTCCTCACTCGCCATCCATCCCTCAGGTGGGTAGGATCGTAGGACGACCAGTGAAAGCATGTTGATTGGTGAGTAGGACTACACCGCCCATTTAAGCCCATCACCCATCAGGTCGATGGGAGCACCAGTAAAAGCCGTGTCTGTCCCCTTTCCCTACCCTTCCTACCTTGTCTGACCACCATCGTCTATCCTTCCTACACCCCAACCACGGCCCCCCTTTTTCCTACCTGCCATCCACCCCGATGGCAGGCGATCATCTGCTGGTGGGGGGAGACAAGAAAGGCGTGTTACCTTGTTACCAATCATTGCAATCGTTCCACCTCTTCCTAACCCCTCTAAACCCCTTACCGCCCCACCATCCACCCTGATGGCAGGCGATCATCTGTTGGTGGGGGGAGACGAGGGCAAGGTGGCATGGATCGACATGGACCTCTCCACGCGCCCCTACCGCGTCTTGAGGTGCGTACGGCTTTTTGCTCAGAGCAATGCAAGCTATACCACCTCGTGAAGCAAGGTGGCATGGATTGACATGGACCTCTCCACGCGCCCCTACCGCGTCTTGAGGTGCGTACTGCCTACATGCTGTGCGTAACGATTCCACCCTCGTGCGTCTCCTCAATGCAAGCTGTACCACACCTCAAGATGGCATGGATGGATTGACATGGACCCGTCTACACGGCCCTACCGCGTCTTGAGGTACTAATTGCAATCTCTGGGTTTCCTCATTGCAATCTCTGGGTTTCCTCATTGCAGTCTCTGGGTTTCCTCATTGCAATCTCTGGGTTTCCTCATTGCAATCTCTGGGTTTCCTCATTGCAAGCTCTGGACTGGTTAATTTCTTTGTTCATACATCAAATCATGCCTGTCCATTATGTGTTCACCACGTCACGAGGGGCCACGGACGTACAACCTGTTGCTTTCCACTTCACCAGCCCAACACAGCACAACACACCGGCCCATCCATCCATTCACTTTCATTCAAACCCCTCCGCTCCCACCCACTCATTCTGCAGGAGTCATGGCGGCATGGATGTGCGGTCAGTGGCATTCCACCCCACCTACTGGCTCTTCGCCAGTGCGGCAGAGGACGGCCTTTTTGAGAATTCTCAAAAGGCATTCCACCCCACCTACTGGCTCTTCGCCACTGCGGCAGAGGACGGCCTTTGCCTTCCATCCATACCCCCCCCACTTCCCGCCCCTCCTCCCCTGCATCTTCTTGTCTTGCCCCACCCGCTGCAGGAGTCACGGAGGCATGGACGTGCGGTCAGTGGCATTCCACCCCACGTACCCGCTGTTCGCCAGTGCAGCGGAGGACGGGTCAGCCTTTGCCTTCCACGGGATGGTCTTTGCCGACCTGCTGCAGAACCCCCTCATCGTGCCCCTCAAGATCCTCCGCGCGCCGCCCCCTCCGCAACAAGCCACCTCTTCCTCGTCCTCCTCCAAGAGTGCGTTGAATTCCTGTTTGCTCTCCTTTGAACGCCACATTAGAGGTGATGCCCTGTGCCCCTCATCGTGCCACTCAAGATCCTCCGCGCGCCGCCGCCCCCTCCGCAAGCCGCTTCGTCTTCCTCGTCCTCCAAAAGTGTGTTGATGTTTTCGTTTTTCTTTTTTTCTTTTTTTAACACCACATGAGCGACATCACCGCCCTGTGCTCCTCATCGTGTCCCCACTTGTTCCACTCAAGATCCTCCGCACCGCACCACCACTGCCCCCCCATGCCGCCTCCTCATCGTCATCGTTCTCCTCCAAGAGTGCCTTGATGTTTCGTTTTTCCTCTTCTTGGAACGTCGCATTGAAGGCATTACCGTTCATAGTGCACAGCTCATTCTCTCACCCCCACCCTCACATTCTCTCTCCCCATCCCCACTCTTCCCTGTGCCTGCAGGTCTGTACGCGTGTGCCTTCCACCCCTCCCAGCCATGGCTCTTCACTGCAGGCGCTGACTGCTCAGTCACCCTCTTCACACACTGAAGCTATTGTTTTTCTGCACACTGAATGTCTGCTCTGCTGTGCTGTGCCGTGCTGCGCCGTGCTGTCTAAACTCTGCAAGAAGCGATTTTGTTACAGGAATGCTGTCTGTAATAGAAATACTGTTTCCAACACATAGGTAGTATCATCTATCCACCGCATGGTTGATTAGAATGCTGTGAGATTTTAGATATCAGCAGCGCCTGCCAGCCTGTGCCCTGCCACAATGGATGGCCCCCCTCGTGCTGTTTGTTGCCAACAAGTCTCATGCTGCTTCTTTCATGCCCTGGTGGCAAGGCAATATGAACGCCATTATTAGACCGATTACGGTACATTCCATACTCCAGGATGGCTAAGGAACAATCACCAAGTCGCAGCATGTTGGGTCTGATGTGCTGCAATGGCTTGCATCGATTGCCACCCTGGCCTGATACCGGCCGTAGGAACACGCTCCTCTAAGCAGATGCTCAATGTACTAATGTATTGCACCACAGGGAAAATGAGAGAGCACTTCCTCTACATAAATGTCAAAATAATGCAACCGTTTTTCAAACCCTTTGCAAGGGGAGTTGCAAATAAGAGCGTGTTCCTACGACCTCCTATCAGGAGCACCTTGTATCAGGAATGCCTTTCTCCCCTGTGAATCAGGAATCTCGCTAAAACCTCGTATCAGGAAAACTTACCGGTTAACACACTTGCGCGACTCAAAACCAACGCTGAGGTGGCAGCATGCGACCCAACCATGTGCGCTCTGTGCACAATCTTTTGTGTTGCGCCTCGGCATACATCAACATTTCACCACGTCAGCAACCCATCCTCACCAACCCGGACAGTGTGTTGGTCCATCCTCTCCTCCCCAACCCGTAAGGTTTCTGGAGGTAGAGAACATATGTCGCATATCTTGGAAACGTGTGACTACTCGGCATCTCATTTCGCCATGACAGACGTGCCTTTCCTGCCGCGATTGCTAATAGTATGGCATGCTTTCTACTACGATACGTTCTTGAAAAGCGTGATTAATGTCTGCGTACAACTTCTCGAACAGATAAGCAACGGGGAACTAGAAGAGCCGTGAGGGGAGTCGCGTAGTGCATTACGCCATAGGTGTCGAACATATATGCTATAGTCTTTCTAGGCTGTAGTGGGGTAGACAGTATGGGGTACAGCTTTCTAGGGTTTCATATTTGTACCCAACTCATTTCCTAGTTCACTCATTCCTCATTTCTTCACATGGTATAGAGCAGGTTCCCTAGTGGGAACTTTTCCTTGGGCCCACCACTATTTTTTTTTTTTTTTTCCTGCCCTGAGATCAAGTCGCCCCTGACCGAGGCGCGTCCTGTGGGCCGCCCTCCCCTTAGCGGCCCGTCGCGCCGCCCTTAGCGGCCTCACTCACGGCCCCACTCACGGCCCCGTCGCCACCCTTAGCGGCCCCGTCGCCGCCCCCCTTGCGGCCCGGCCACCCTCTCGCGGCCCCGTCGCCCTTCGCGGCCCACCCGCCGCCCTTCGCGGCCGCGTCGCCGCCCTTTCGCGGCCCCGTCGCCGCCCTCCAAGCGGCCCCGTCGCCGCCCTCTAACGGCCCCACCGCCGCCCTTCAGCGGCCCCGTCGCCGCCCCACTGCGGCCCCGTCGCCGCCCTCTAGCAGCCCCGCCGCCGCCCCTCAGCGGCCCCGTCGCCGCCCTACCGCGGCCCCGTCGCAGCCCTCTAGCGGCCCCGCCGCCGCCCTCTAGCGGCCCCGTCGCCGCCCTACCGCGGCCCCGTCGCCGCCCTCTAGCGGCCCCGCCGCCGCCCTTCAACGGCCCCGTCGCCGCCCTACCGCGGCCCTGTCGCCGCCCTCTAGCGGCCCCGCCGCCGCCCTTCAACGGCCCCGTCGCCGCCCTACCGCGGCCCCGTCGCCGCCCTCTAGCGGCCCCGCCGCCGCCCTTCAGCGGCCCCGTCGCCGCCCTTCAGCGGCCCAGTCGCCGCCCTCCAGCGGCCCCATCGCCGCCCTACAGCGGCCCCTTCGCCGCTCCGTGCGGCCCCCTCACCGGCCCTGCCGCCGTCGCTGAGCCGCCGAGCCGCCGAGCCGCCACCGAGCCGCCGAGCCGCCGCCGAGCCGCCGGGCCGCCGCCGAGCCGCCGCCGAGCCGCCGAGCCGCCGCCGAGCCGCCGAGCCGCCGAGCCGCCGCCGAGCCGCCGAGCCGCTGCTGAGCCGCCGAGCCGCCGCCGCCGCAGCTGCGGCCCTGTTCCTGCCGGCACGCCCCGGCCCTCCCCACCCGGTCTGGTGAGAGCTTTCCCGAGCAGCGTCTCTGCCACTGCACTACCTCTAGCCTGCCGCTCTCACCACTAGACTGCTGCTGTCATGGCTACCCCTAGTGTCCTTACCTTTGATGCTGAGGGTCGGGCTGTTGACTTTGAGGTCTGGGTCGATGACTTGCAGCTTTTCCTACAGTGCGATAGGGCAGACGGTTTCTCCCTTTTCGATCTCACTTCTGGTGCCTCTCCTGCCCCTCCTGCTGATGCTGATGCCACTGTTCGCTCACAGTGGGCCACGCGCGATGCTGCTGCTCGCCTTGCTGTGCGCCGCCACTTACCGACCGCTGAGCGCGCGCATTTTAGTCAGTACAAGAGTGAGACGCTATCGTTGCACGCTACTCTTCCCCTGCCACTGCTGCCCTTAGCCGCCTCATACTGCCGTACCTCTTCCCTGACCTCGCCGCTTTTCCCACAGTCGCTGACCTCATTACGCACCTTCGCACTAGTGACATTCGCTACCGCGCTGCGCTTCCTGCTGAGTTCTGCGCCAAGAACCCCCCCCCTATGTACATCACCCTCTACTACATAGTCACCCGGCTCCCTGACACCCTTCGCTCGGTCAGGGACCACTTCCTCTCTGTTTGCCCCACCACCCTCACCGTTGACCTCCTCGAGGAGCGCCTCCTAGCAGCAGAAAAGAGTATAGTCGCTGTAGGAGCCTCTCGTGGTGACCCTCGTACCCCTGTCTTTGAGGGGTGCTCTCCCTCCCCCCTCTTGCCCTCTGTTGCCTCTGCTGCTGCGGCCGACCTCGTTGGTCTTGAGTCGGTCGGCGCGGCGTCTGCCCCTAGCGGGAGACGCCGCCCAGGCAAGGGCAAGGGGGGCAAGGGCGCTGGAGGGGCTGGCGGGGGCGGTGGAGGCGGCGGTGGAGGCGGCGGAGGGGGTGGGGGTGGCGGTGGGGGTGGTGGCGGGAGTGGGGGCGCTAGTGGCGGCAGTGGAGGCGGAGGAGGCGGCGGTGGTGGCGGTGCGAGCGGAGGTGGTGGAGGTGGAGGCGGTGGTGGAGGTAGCGGCGGCGGAGGTGGAGCTGGTCGGGGCGGCTCTTCGCAGAGGGTCGGCTCCGGTGGTGGTCAGCGCCAGCAGCAGCAGCAGCAGCGCACTCGTGAGACCCCTTCCCCCCAGCAGCTTCGTGAGTGGTACGCTGCTCGTCAGCGGGGTGGGGGTGCTCGCCCCTGTACCTACGTTCTGCGTACAGGCGACCGCACGGGTGAGCAGTGTGGGGGTCTGCACTCCACCCAGCGCTGCTTCGGCCGCCTGACGGACGCTTGGCGTCATCAGTTCCCCGACGCTACTGAGATCCCTCGCTGGGGCGAGCTGTCTAGGGCGGGTGTTGCTATCTTTGATCTTGATTATGATGCTATTCTTGCTGCAATGTATACTGTGACTATTAGTGATGAGGGTGACTGTTACCGGTGTTTTCCGCCTGACCCGGGCATTGAGACTGCTGCTCTAGGTGCTGGTGAGGCTGCTGCTCTAGGTGCTAGTGCGTCTGCTGCTCCAGGTACTGGTGAGTCTGCGCTCTCAGGTACCGCGTCGGCTCCGGCCACCCACACCTTCACCCTTGACTCGGGTGCTTCCCGCTCCTTCTTTCGAGACCGCACCACGCTTACGCCGCTTAGTCGGCCAGTGGCAGTCTCCCTGGCAGACCCCTCTGGGGGCCCTGTCCTTGCCCACTTCTCCACTGTCTTACCGTGTCCGGCGGCCCCTTCTGGCTCCCTGTCAGGTCTTTACCTCCCCTCGTTCTCTACGAACTTGGTGAGTGGTGCTGACCTAAAGGACGCAGGGGTTGACCAGTTCACTCCTGCGCGTCACCGAGTGACCCACTGTACGTGTGCTCGGACGGGCCGACACTTGGCCACGTTTACCCGTCAGCCGGGGTCGAGCCTGTACACACTGACTACTGAGTCTCCTCAGGTAGCTGCGTCGAGTCAGGTGTTTGCTGCAGCGTCCAGGTCTGGTCCTGAGTCTGCCCCCTGCTCGTGTCGTCTCCTGTCTCACCAGACTCTCCTCTGGCACCACCGCCTTGGTCACCCCTCCCTGCCTCGTCTCCGAGGCATGGCCTCTCGTTTCCTTGTCTCGGGTCTCCCCCGGTCCCTCCCTTCTCTTCCTCCGGGGCCTGGCCCCACCTGCGTTCCCTGCGTCGAGGGGCCGCAGCGCGCCGCTCCTCACTCCTCCGAGTTTCCTCCGATAGAGGCTCCACTGCAGACGCTTCACATGGACGTGTGGGGCCCAGCCCGTGTCCGTGGACAGGGTCACGAGCGTTACTTCCTGCTGGTGGTTGACAACTACTCGCGTTACACCGCGGTCTTCCCCTTGCGCAGCAAGGGTGAGGTCACTGAGGTGTTGATCTCCTGGATCCGCGCAGCTCGTCTCCAGCTCAGAGAGAGTTTCGGCTCGGACTTTCCTGTTCTGCGTCTGCACTCTGACAGAGGCGGAGAGTTCTCCTCTGACCTTCTGCGTGCCTTCTGTCGTGCACGAGGCATCCGCCAGACCTTCACGCTTCCGGACTCTCCGCAGCAAAATGGGATTGCTGAGCGCCGCATTGGCATGGTCATGGACGTCGCTCGTACGTCCATGGTCCATGCGGCTGCCCCCCATTTTCTGTGGCCGTTTGCGGTTCGGTACGCGGCACATCAGATCAACCTTCAGCCCCGGGTCTCCATGCCGGAGACCTCCCCTGCTTTGCTGTGGACGGGGAAGGTTGGCGATGCGTTTGCG